TTTTTTTATGGGAAAAAAACTTTTTCCCATCCCAACTATCACGATTTTGGCGCTTTACCATACAAACTATTTTTTTTGGCAAACCATCATATTAACTATCCGCTTTTTTCACTTTGGCCACCAAAACCATATTTAAAGTTGTTTTGTATGAAAAAAGCTGATTTACAAGGATATTTTAGGAATTACAAATTTTAAAATATTACAAAAGTGCCCAATGAACCAAATCATAATTTATAGGCTATTTAAATATACCAAATTAACCCCTCTTCTTTGTCAGATTCTCACATGTTAACCTATTTTTATGCATTTTCATTTTTTAATTCAAAAAAAAAAACCAATAAAATTCGACCTCTTGAATTCTGCCCGCCAACACCATTGCTAAACCCTCACCGCCGCACCTCATCCCTAAAATACTCCTCAGGAGGTCGACGAAAACCCTAGTCGCCGCCCCATCCGAGCCCTCCAACACAACCCAAAACCCTAGCTGCCGCCGCCCCTGTCCCAATCTGAGCCCTCCTCAAGCACAACTGCAAGCCGCAGCTCTCCGACGAGATCCCCCGCGTCGTGTTCAACACCTCCGGCAAAGGCGACAAGACCAACACCACCGCCAAGATCGGCCTCTTCTCGCGCGCCTCGGCTTCTTTGTCGTCGCCATAGACATCGGCCTCCGCAACCTCGACCTCCTCCTCAGCCTCGAGAACCGCATCAAATACACCGTCTTCGAGGTTCTCAGTAGCGATGAGCCAAGACTTGGAGAAGAAGAAGTTGGACTAGGAGAATTGGGGCTTTCTTCTTCGATTTCCCCAATTTCAGCTCGCCGACGAGGCAACCGTGACGGATTCGTTCAGCCGAACAATATGTGGTCGAGGTATTTATCGTCGGGCCCGAAATCTGAATTCTTGAGGACACCGGAGTGCAGGATGTCGGGCAGACGGAAAAGGGTGCAGATGTTCTTGATTCATTTGGTTTTCTTTGTTTTTTTAACTCGAAAGATTATAAAAGGTGAAAAACAAAAATCGATGATGTTCAAATTATGTATAGATCTTACAGATTGTAATGTTGCAGATAAGAAGGCAGTCTGGATAGTTCTTACAAATCATCACATAAAATAATTTTTTATTTTTTATTTTTTTAAATATATCAAGTTCCTAAAATACCCTCAAAAAACCAGTTTCAATGAAGTGAAACCGGGCTTAAACCTGGTATAGGGAGCAATTTGACAAACTCGCATAGTTGAGGTAGTGGTTTGCCAAAAAAAAGAGTTCATATGGTAAAGCGCCAAAACCGTGATAGTTCGGAGGGTAAAAAGTTTTTTTCCCTTTTTTTATTCCGAAACGATAGATAATATTATAAATCAAAAGCGCACAAAGTGCAAATACAAGTAGCCAATGGCTGAAAAGTGGGAGGACAGGTCAGGAGACCACCTAGAAACCCCGCTAGCAACCGCTAAAAAGAAAAACTCGCAACCAAATTAAACAACTAGACAAGACCCCCACAAGGTAATAAAACAACGACACAAATAACTAAAACAACAAGACCCCCACCGGGTAATATCGGAGTGTCGGACCCCCACAGGGTAATAAATTTGACACTCGTGTGCACAAAGGCTAACGGCCCAAACCTAAAACACAATCACAAACACTAGACAAACACAAGCAACACAAACACAGAAACATGAAAAACAATCTAAATAAAAATAGAGCCCTCCCCCTGTGAGCAAACAAACCCAACCAGCAGTGGACGATCAACACAAGAAAGATCCGAGCCCGATAATCCTCTACCGAAACTGCCTACTACCTATACAGTAGAAGACATCGAGCCCCGAATCGATCCCAGAATCGACCCATCTTCAACCGAAAGAATCTCAACCAACCTTTACACTGGCCCCACTCGAACTCTACGAACTCGAAGGAACCTGGCCCCCCGCCGCCTAACACCACTAGGCAAACGGGCTCGCGCAAAGGTCGATCGCGCCCTTAACCCCAACCACTGCGACTGCCGAGCCCCAGCAACCAGAGCCCTGACCCCCCTCAGAACTTGCGCCACACCAAACACCATAGAGCGCCGACGACAGAAGCCCAGCCCCGTCCAGCCCCACCGGAACAGGCGAGCCCGCCGAAGAAGCACAACTCAGACGACGGAAGGGCAGCGAAAAGACCGGACAAAGCGAAAAGACCGAACATACCTCCACAGAGCAGCTCCCGCTGGCAATCGAGAAGACCCGAACCGCCTGCAAGCCGCCGCTCCTGAAGGTCGCCGCCGCCGAACGAAGCCATCTCTCCCGCAGCATTTTTCCCAGATCGGACAAGCTCAGCTAGAGGAACGTGACCCGTGCACCCAACACCTTACGGCACGAGCTGACGACAGCCATGCACCACCTGTGTCCCACGCCCGAAAAAGACCAGCCCCAATCTCGGAGCACCTAGGCGAAAACAGGGCCGCGCGGACTAGAGGGGGGCTAGGTGGTCAAGGACGACCCTTGGCCTAGATTATGCAGCCGACGAGGGAGGCAATCGGGCGATTGCAGAGAGAAGAGAGATATGCGAATTGGGGAGGAGGGTTTCGGAAATTGCAAAGAAAGTTAGGCTTTCCTGTGGACAACCTAAGAAGTGCATTTATGACATTTCGATATTAATGTTATAGATAAATAATATTGTACATATGGGTTTACATAACATTCACATTGAATGGGATCCATCAAAAATAAAAAATCAAGTGGACCCACGAGTGTTATGTACATCTCCATGTACTTATAACATTTTTCTAATGCTATTGTGTCCTATCGTGAAGACCTCTCGTTGGATTCAATTGTACTGTATAGCTGCTTTAATCGAATGTTCTAGCTGTTTTCAAGATTGTAAATATGTGTTTATTTATAAAATCTGCCATTTCAAACAAAAGCCATTCCTTCCCGAATTAGAATTCATATAAAACTACGCCCGCGAACTCCAAGATCTCATCAATCGTTCAGATAGCTCAAAATATACTCAGAGGTCATGATATTTCTCAAAGGAAGCTCATATACTATTCATATGTATCAACATATCAAGTCTCAATACACAAATGAAGGCAAAATTCATTCAATTATACCCAGCATTGCTCGTAGCAAGCATGAAGTCAGAGGAATCCGTCATCAAACAATGTTCAAAACCTGATGCATTTGATGTGCTTGGATTTAAAGGAGATCCTCATCAAACATTGTTCAAAACCTATGTGCTTGTTCAAAACCTATGTGCTTGATTTTAAAGGAGATGGTCATCAAACAATGTTCAAAACCTGATGCATTATGCTGTTCTTCAATGGTAAAAGTATGTCACCACAATTAGCCAATAATAGTATGACAAGATACTATTATACTTGCAACACGAGTTCAGTTGTAGAGACATGTATTTAACCAATAATATGCAGTTTGGGAACATCAATACTAAAAAAGAGCAGTATATTATCAGCTAGCCCAGCTGCTTCTAAGGCACAAACTGTCACGAGGTTATATTGTGCACCAAATATCCTCTCCAAGCACACATCATAATTTAATTATTATTATTACTGCAGAAACTAAACAAATACTAAACTAGACAACTAGAACGTGGTTTTTGATAGTTACAGTTAATTTCTCTTTGTAGCCAATTCTCAGAAATGACTGCAAGACTATAATAGTTTGCGCAAAGAAAGGTCTTCTATATCACACACTTGCAACACCAGAAATAGTTTTGATTACAACAATATGCTTGTCTGCTCGAGAGCTCGTCATTGGTTCAAAGAACTATATCAACACATTTCTCAGGAACACAAGTTATAGAACAAACTGGCACAACGAATATAAATAAATTTCTTCAATGTATAGCCCAATATGTTTACAACAAAACACATATATAAGATCTTCTGATTTGAAACTGAAAAAGAAACTCATACTTCAAGAAAACACGATAAACAACCGCCTCGTCCTGCTCAAATCAAATATTACAAAATCAAGCATTGCATTCCACTTTCACACAAAATCATAGTTCCTTCTAGCTTTAGATCACATCAATCACAAATAAAGAAGAAAGCAAAAAGAAAACAGTAGAGATTGCAACCTTAAACAACATACTTCAGTCCAGGTCCTCCTCTCTTGCTTGACCTCCTCTACCATCACCAGCATTCGATTCTCCCCTATCACTGTCCGTGCGATTGTTATTATTCCCATTTCCTTCTCCCCCACTACTGCTCGTCTCGGCTTGTGATCCAAACCTTCTAAAAATCCAAGGAAACGATATTCTAAAACCACTTTCCATCGTCCTCGGTGTCTGAGAACCACTATTACTGTTATCATTATTACTACCCCTACTTTCTTGACTATTATTGTTATTACCGTTGCCACTATTTTGCCCCACTCTTCGATTCTCGTAATCCGAATCATCAGTAGGAAGCTCATACCTACAAACCGGGCACGAATTATGCAGCTCAAGCCAGGGCAAGATGCAATCTTTATGATAGATATGCTTGCAGGGCATCTGTTTGGCCACCTCCTCCATCTCAAAGCTATCTTTACACACAGCGCATTGGGAAGAATCTGAAGCCAGCATTTCCTGTGTGATGCTTATATCCGGCAGCCCCTCGACCGCAGACTTTGAAGCAGGCGGCGTCCCGTACCGATTCGGATCATTCTCCACCAGCTGCTGGATCAACTGCTCCAAACCAGGGCCCATGAAATAGTCCCCAAAATTCATGGGTAGCCGGAAATCGACCCCTCCGCCACCCAATCCACCGCCGCCGGGGGACTCGAAGACGACCTGGATATTCGCACCCCTAGCCTGGAGGCCATTGATGTAGTTGTTGAGGAAGGCGAAGGGATTGAACTCGTCGGAGGATCGATTCCCGAAGAGCGCCGACAGATCCTCGATTCCGCCGCCACCTCCATCACCGGAGGAGAAGGAGAACGCGGAGGCGCCGGGTGCCGAGGAGGAGGAGGAGGAGAAGGCGATCGGGAAACCGCCGAAGGGAGGGAAAAGGGGGTTCGGAATCGGATTATCTTGGATCGAGGTGGTTCCCGGGTCGGATTCTTCCAGAAATCCGCCTTGGCAGATGGGGCAAACGACGTCCGCGGTGGGTGAGGACGGAGGGGCGATGGTGACGTGGCGCTCGCATTGGTAGCAGTAGTAGTGCTGGGCTGCGGAGGCCCCGCCGTGCCCGCCACCCGAAAGACTCGCCGAAGACATGGATTTTGTACGGAGAGTATCTATTTGGTTGAGAGAGAGAGAGAACAAAAGGAGGAAAAAAAAAAAAAACGTGTGCTTTTCAAGACATCTTCCTCGCACCGACCTAATTACAGTCAATTTTAGCCAACAAAAATCTGAGATATTCAATTGTTACCAATTTGATTTTGAGGAGAGCTTGTTTAGGTGTTAAAACTGAAAAATTTGACCAAGAACGCTTGGATGAGATGGTTTGGGTCTCTTCCAGCTTAACCAGTGGTCTCGTGTTCGAGCCCTGGGAATGCAGCA